CCTCACGGGCCGGCCGATTAAGGCAGGCCCCCCGTCCCAGCGAAACATGACCACTGGGTTACGGTGTACCGTGACGTCGCCGCCGCCTTCGTCGCCTCTCAGCCCAAGGCCTTACCGGCATGGTAGTACCTGCCAGAGACCAAGGACCGAAGCCCAAGGACCCCGCCGGCATCGCCCCCGGTCCTCATTGAGGCGGTCTAGTGGCAGCGAGCGCCCCCCTTTTAGTCGCCTCTTACGACAGGCAGGGGTTACCTTGGCTGTATTCTAATCCCCAGCCACAGGGGGGTCTTCTGTTCGTCCTACCCCAACCTAACCTAACCTAACCTAACCTAACCTAACCTAACCGAACCTAACCTAACGTAACCTAACCTCTTCCCTAACGTAGGCCGTCGGTACCCTTTCATCCTTTGGGGATATCCCAGATGTACCGACGATAGCCGCAACGGCGCTTCTGCTCCCTAGCTTACATTTGCGCTGTAACGTGAAACGTTATCACGTGAATATGTTTAGAGTGGTGTGGCGACACTGCCATGGGAATATTTATCGATAGTCTATTGTATCGATATGTCTTGAATGTTCTTCGAGGACCTTTGTATCGATGGTCATAAATTAAGAGCGAAATTCGAACATCGTCTATGCATACCCTTATATAAATAAACAAAGAGTAAATTGTAAACCCCTCGACGTGGGTGATAGAGCTGAGAGAAGGCCGGAAGTCCAGAGAATGGAATAGTTTCACTTGGAAAATTCCTAAAAACTAATTTATGATAGACCATAGCTAATTCGTTGTTTTCGACCAAGTCACGAACGGTCCTTAAGGGTTACGAAGTCTTTTTCGATATCCTGTCTTTTCATGCACTCTAAGAGGGTCGTAAATTTCCTCAAGAGTTGCTTTGGCAAGTACAAGGTCTTGTCGTTTCCTAATTTCTCTGGGTCCCACGCTTTCTCTTAGCACATGTGCGCTGCAACGTTCTAGCGTCTTGGCGGAGCGCCTCCACATCCACGCGCTTGAGGGTGGACCACAGCCAGGAAAAGGGGCCCACACGAGACGGGGTGGACTCCTCCACCATTGGACGAGGGATGATCCTGAGGGAGGATCCAGGATCCACCAAGGAAGGGGCATCGACCGACAACGCGCGAAGATCTCCTCCGCCAAGCGCAGAATTGTCAGAATGATTTTGTCACTCGTTACGGACAAGTCGTTTTCGCACAGAAAGTTCTAAGCCTTGTTAACACAAAGTCAAAGTTCCGATTTAAATTGAAATACAAAATATTAAAGTATTCAAAACAATAATAACAGTTTACTATTTTGTATATCCGCGCCTTGAGAGCGGAGCGCCTCTGCGCTCCACGGACTGTCACACCTGCACCTAAATCCCCGAATATCCCTATTTTCCGCGACGGACACGCAACAGCGCTTTCGTCTCACCTCAATCCGCCGTGCGCTAGGCAACCACGGGGGGTTGAGGATCCACGCCGTCACACCTCCGATCTAGCGGTAGGATGTTTCAACCTGTACAAGAAAGCACAGGATTTTTCTTCGGCCACGATCAGGAACCGGAGGATTCCCACTCAACGGGTGATCGCGCCCCTACTTCACCTGCCTGCCATTAGCAAGGCCAAGAACTTTCTCTTCGGTCACGATCAGGACCCGGGACTTCGTATCTCCCGGTTGATCGCCCCAATCTTCGTCCACCATGGTAGGTTGATAATGAAGATGTGGCTTGTCCTTGCAGTCATCACGTCCACCTGTCCTTCCACGAGGACAGGCCATTTTTCTTCAACCACGATCGGCACCGGAGGACTTTCCCACTCATCGGGTGATCGGGCCGTGTCTTCACCAGCCTGCCATAAGCGAGGTCAGGGAGCTTTCTCTTCGGCCACGATCAGGAACCGGAGCCCCTCCTCAACGGGTGATCGCGCCATGACTTCCGCCTGCTTGCAATGCGAAGACAGGGCTTCTTCTTCAACCACGACCGGCACCGGAGCTCCTGCTCAACGGGTGATCGGGCCGTGTCTTCACCAGCCTGCCATAAGCGAGGTCAGGAAGCTTTCTCTTCGGCCACGATCAGGAACCGGGAAATCCTTTCCCCGGCTGACCGCGCCATATCTTGGTACGCTGCAACCCTCGATGACTTGTCCCATACATACTCCAGACACACACACACCACTCCCAAAAAGCATAGCATCGAATATCCAAACAACCCAAGCAAGTAAAAGGAGGCATGCAGAATGCCCATGAAGAAAGTAGGCACATAGAGTAGCCACTCCCTAGCCAGGTGAAGAACGAAACTGTAAGAAACAAGCTCAGACTCCAATCCTATCGCATGAGTAAGATAATGTAGAAGTAAAATTGCCATTGGCAAGAGAGCGGTAAAACAAGCAGCTGTAGCAGAGAGAATAGAAAAGAGTAGAAAAGAAAGTTAGTTAGGGAAGTATAATAGTAAATATTAGCATATAATCTGCGACGACAGCCGCGGATCGGCGTCGCGCATCGCGGGCCCCCACCGCGGCGGCATCCCCACTCCCGAGTAATTAGACTATAAGTAGGACCGATCGATGCGCGGATCGATGAGTTGCCCCGGGGCTTCGGCCCCGAGGGGACCTCCTCGGAGGTCCGGACCGGAGCACCAGAGCTCTCGACGCCATGGCTGACCTGGCGAAGAGATCTCTGGCCAACGGGCCGTAGCATTGCACTACGCTACGACCTGGCAGCTCCCCTAGGTCCAGCGGCCGTAGGCGCCTAGCCTCGTCAGTCCCGTGGTTGACCCGGGGTGACCAAGCTAGTGCGCGTTCATAATCTCTGCTGGTGCTTCTGCGGGGATTCCGAACGCTAGCTTACTCGGCACCGCAATTTGCCTTTGGCAGCCGATTCCGTCCAGCTTTGTGGCGTTACCCAGGCTGGCCAGGATTGGTCGTCGACTCGTTCGCTGTTCGGTTCTACCTCGGCGTACGAGAAGACGAGCCGCGTGAGGCAAGCGGGCAGCAACTCCACCGCAGCGCGAAACACCGCAGCGCGATTGAATAAACACCGTCGGCCCAACCGGGCCAATCCTATCCCGCCTCTACCTCCTTTGCGTTTGCGTACGTTTGCGTTTGTTTGCGTTCGCGCTCCGTTCAGCGCTTTCACTCCGCGCTCCGACATCGCGCCGTTAGTTGTATGACCGCGTAGCGATGGCTACGACCTGCGCTAGAATTAAGGCCGCGTACTTTCTGTGACGGACCGGGTTCCGACCGTAGTTCATAAGTCCTGTACATTAGGCTTAAGCTTGGCTCCACGCGTCTAACCACCAGACGATACTCTGATTGTAGCTCCCGAGGCAGGAGAGCACCGCCCGACCAGCCGGCGAGGGCAGCCGCTGCTAGACGCCCCACTACTCTTTCCTGAATAAATATTTATTTTTTTCTATTAACACCGACTCGTTATTTACCGACCTGTTCCCATGCGAACCCTGGCACGCGGAAAACCGCCGCGGTGCGCAACGCCGTGCGCACCGAACCGACCGACCCCGTTACAAATCAACACCCAAACTAAATTAACCACCCAACACTGCGTTGAGCTCTGCTGCATTGAGTAACAACTAAATAAGTAAGCAATGAAGTAAACCGGTAATCAATTAAAAGGAAGGAAAACAAAGTATTCCATTAGGGCGCCTTGAGAAACAACAATTCCTGTCAAAGTATAAAGAAAATTGCTGCGCTCACTTACGTATTGACAACTGAACCATATCAAAATGGGTAGGAAAGTGCAATATTGTCAAAGCCGGACTAAGTAAATGTAAATTTATAATGTGTAATTGTATATGGATTAATATATATTAATATAACCAAGACACAGCATAGTAGAGACACCTAGGTCATCTCATAACACAATGCAACAGAAAACGCAGGATCAAACTATCCTTAAAATATATATATGAAGGTAACGCAACACAATAAACGCACATAGTATACGCGTTCAAACAACCAATCCATATAAACCAAACTGTACCAGATTCTAATAGATTCTAATGAATTCCATTGAATCCATTATGTTGAGCATGCAATAAGGCCAATAAGACTACACTAAGGCATATAGACACATGTCATGACATAATAATGGAAATATGTAAATACGGCAAGTAGGGTGAAATAAAATAAAACAAGCACTTATAAAGTCATTTAATTAATTTAACCTAATTTATTCAATATACCATATGTCACCGCTAATCACCCCATTTGTTTATTCACTCAATTATAGTAATATAAAGAATAGGAGATAGGGAGTTATATAATACAATACAGTACAGTTTACAGTGTAGCGCAAAATACTGCCTAAGTATAACCTAATGTAACTGAAATACCCTAACCCTAACCTAACCTAACCCTAACCCTAACCTAACCCTAACCCTAACCTAACCTAACCTAACCTAACCCTAACCCTTTTTTTTTTTATATTAACGAGGTGGGAAAAACGCATTTATGCAGACCGGGCTACGATGTTAGATGCCCGGTACTGTGGGACTCCCAGTCACTGGTATACCCACTAAAAAACCCACCTCGGTTTCTCGTTCATGTTTCCGGCCTCCTCCCTGCCAACCCCCGGAAAAGCCTCGATCTAATGATCTATAGCATTACTTCGAGGGGGGGGGGGGGCAAATGGTGCACTAAACCTTTGGAGCAGCTTATACTTTTCTCGGCACTTCTTCTGTATCTCTTACTCTTGTTTCTTATACGTAACCAGTGGTAACTCCGCCCATAGGCGTGATAATAATACTAAGCCAAAGACCTCCCATTCCTGGTACGTTGGACCCCGCCAAGGTAAGTCGAAGTATTACTCTACAGCTTACGTACTAGTTCATAGCTTACACCGACTCATATGATATGACACTCCTTATGTCAAACTCTTACTTTGGCGTGGTCAATTTCACAAGCCACGCCCATCCATCCGATGGGCCACGCCCTATTTCATCAGGACACGCCCAGTGGGCGTCAACAAATGCTGGAGGCGATGAAAACGCCTATTTAATTTTCGTCAGCTTATAAAGGTGTACATGACCATGCTCCAGGGGTAAAACTATAGTCGAACTAAAGTGCCCTTTGTCAGATTTGAACTAAAATAAAATTACTACACATAGTTGCGTCTGTCCAATAAAAATCTCATAAAAACGGATTGCATAGCAATAATTACTATTAAATAAATAAGTAAAATACGTAAATACTTATGAACAAGCACTCAGTAACATAAAATAGGCGTGTATAGGGCGCTCTGACTAGAATCTCCTCGTTTATGTAATATCTATTACTTGGATGGGCATATCATTGGGATTGCCTTGCGTTCTCCTCTCTTTTTCTCTATCCCTCTCATATTTCTCTTTCTCTCTCATACAGCTGGTTACAAACATGATTATCTGTTCTCTACTTCTGCTGTCACCAAATAGCCTGATGAAGTTTCCAACACCTAGATTTTCACCTATGGTAGCATTCAGTGTTGCTCTTTTTTCCCGCCAGCGACTACAATGAAGTAAAAAATGTTCTGGATTATCTTCGTGTCCCTCGCAGAACCAACAAAATGCGTTTTCCTGTTTGCCAATCCTCAATAAATACGACCCAAAACACCCATGACCCGTTAAAACTTGGGTCACATGGTAGCTCAGAAACTTTGGTCCCCATGTAACCCACTCCCTTATGTTGGGAATCAGTTGGAAGGTCCACCTACCCTTCGTCGACGCTGTCCATCTCCTCTCCCAGGTATCCATTGTCACCTCCCTCTCTTCTTTCTTGATCCTGGCGATCTCCTCATTACTGAGTTCCCTATTTTCCTTCCTTTTCGCGTAAATGCGTGCTCTTTCCTTCAACAGCAAGTCGATGGGTATCTGTCCTGTTATTACACAGAGTGCATCCCATGATGTTGTTCTATAGGCTTGCGCTACCCTTAGCAGCGCGGTACGCTGTGTGCTAGACAACAGGTTGCAATTTGTTCTAAGCTCCAGACCACCAACCCATAGCGGGGCCGTATAGAGTATCACCGACTCTACTACTCTATAAAACAACCTCCAGGCCAGATTTCCTGCACCACCAAGGTTGGGCATCAGATGAGCCAACACACCTGCATATTTAAGAGCCCTGCTACAGGCGGTTTCAATATGACTCTTAAAACCATGGTTCATGCCCAATATAAGGCCCAGATACCGTGCCGTACGTGCAGTTCTGATCTCCGCATCCCCACATATCACGCTAAGGCCACCCGCTACCTTCCTTCCCGTCAACAAGATGGCTTCCGTCTTATGGTGCGCCAGACTCAGCCCCTCACTCTTGTACCATATCCCCAGGTCTTTGATGGTCTCCTGTGCTACATACACCAGTCTAGCCAAATCGACATCAACGATGACAATACCAATGTCATCCGCATACGCTACCTGGTGCACATCTCTGCGCAGTCTCACCCTCAGTAAGCCGTCGTATACCAAGTTCCACAGAATTGGGCCGATGACGGAGCCCTGTGGAACCCCCCCAAACACCTGGAAATTGAGTTCCCCCTCCGCCGCATTATAGACTATCCACCTTTCATCCAGGTAGCTTCGTATCAGGTTAACAAGCTCTGGTGCAAATCCTCTTTCCTCTAAGCACCTAATGATACTGCCCCACCTGATCGTGTTAAATGCATTTTTTACATCCAACAGGACCAGGAGGCAGTGCCTTCTATCTTTGCGGGCTTTTTGCCAGATGCCATCCACTTTGTCCATTGCGTCGAGCGTTGAGCGACCTTTCCTAAAGCCATATTGATTATCGGCCAGGTCATTATTTTCTAATTCTCTTAAAATACGCGTCTTAACAAGTTTTTCCGGTATTTTCGCCAGGCAGGAGATTACCGACAGGGGCCTATATGCCCTCTCATCTGCTCTTGTCGCCTTCCCTTTAGGTAGTAGGACCAAACGTCCGGTCTTCCACGACCTTGGCCAATATCCTCTAGCATAACAGATGTTATAAATATACGCTAGCCACCTAGCCGCTCTCAGGCTGAATTATTTTGCAACTGACGTAGGCATCCTATCAGGCCCAGGCGCTTTATTAACTGGTAGGCATCTCACCACTAAGGTAATCTCTTCGGGGGTAATCCCTCCCACTCTTCGGTGCTCAAGCGTGACAGGTACAGGAACAGGTACATCTGGCAGTTCTTCTTCCACATTAATTTCTCTCTCTCTAATTTCTGTTTCTCTTTCAGGTATCTCTCTCGGTCCCCCAGGTAAGTATCCCGTACCTCTTCTCTCTCCATTCCAATCATTGTTATTTTCTTTTTCAGGTGCTCCAGTACATCCAGGTTCATCAGGTAAGTATATAACTTCATCTTCATTTTCAACAGTTCTAACCACTATTTCAGCGTTTTTTTCAGGTGTATCCAGCCTCGGAGGGGACAGGATAAATAATTTCTTTACCACTGACTCTACTTCTTCGGCACTCAGTATATCTGGCTTACTACCCTTTCCCTTCAGTTTCCATGTGACCACCTTGTACGGTCTCCCCCATATATCCTTGTCAATATCCGTTAGCATATTTTTCCAACTAGTTTTTTTGGCTTTTTCCACCGCACGCTTCATTGTTTTCTGTGCCGTCTTATATACCTTATACGCCTCCTCTATATCTCTCTCATTACCCTTAGCCCTTAACCTAGTGTATCTCCTCCTCGCCTTGTTTACCTCTTTTTTGCATCTAGCCGTATCCTCATTCCACCAGTATACAGGTGTTTTGTTACCCTTGTATGGGCCTCTATAAGAAGTATACTTGTTAACCAGTCTATCCACGTCCTCAATAAACTTGTCTACCTCCAACGTAGTGCCCGTTTTAACTCTCTTGTCGTAGGCCTCGTCCCTGTATTTCCGGATAAGTTCCTCCAGAAGTCCAGCTTCATCAATTTTTGGTTTTCCTAGGTCAAACGGGTCCTTCTCCCTCATGGAATCCGTCTTAGCCCTGCCAAACTTTCGCACAATATACCTGTGGTCCGATGCCGTGTATATGTCCAATACATCCGATGATACATGAAGTTTCATGGCGTCGTTGCTACAGAAAAGGAGGTCAACCACTGACCCCCCTCCCCTATCACAAGTAACACCTCCTTTTGCTATGGTGGGGGTCAGTCCCAACCCATTACACCACTGGTACAGGGTCCTGCCTCTACTGCACCAATTCTTCGACCCCCACAGTGGCGATTTAGCGTTGAAATCACCTGCGACTATGACCTTGGATAAAGTCCCCTTAATACCAGCTAGAAACATCTCCATCGACGCTAGTTGTGCCTCAAAAGCTTGGCTACTATCGTTGGGGGAGGCATATACGCTCATTATGCATATATCGTTGTAATTGATGCAGACAAAGCCCTTATCACAGCTCAGGACCGTTAACTTCCTGCTTTTAGCTATACCTGTATTGGTGATGCTGATGGAAGCCCTACCCGTTAGATCCGTAAACCAGTTATCTGGCGTTAAATACGGTTCGGACAGCACCAATATGTCCGCTTCCTGCTCCCTTGCACTGACAGCTAGCAGGTCATGCGCCAGCCTACAGTGGTTAAGATTCACCTGGAGAATGTCTATATTATGGTCGCCTTTTATTTTTAAGCGCCTCCTTGTATCTCGGACACCTTACAGAGGCCGCAACATGTCCGGTCTGACTCTCGGAGAGACCGTCTTCCACACAGAGCCTACACTTTGGCTCGTTTGGGCAGTCTTTCATGTGGTGTCTTACAGCCCCACATTTCCTACACAATCCGCCATCTCCCACAACGAGCTTGCAGCCACCCGCTATGTGGCCAATACCATGGCATTTAAAACACCTTAGTAGCCTCGGTATCTCTCTCGCAGAAACAACCGTCCATCCGATCATAATCCTGTTCGCCCTCAGAATCCGTTGCATGTCCGCAGCAGGTCCCTCAATAACCGCTACTTTACTCATTCTTGGGTCTGTGCGGAGAACTTTGACCCTCACACCTTTGGCCCGTGTCCAAGCTCAGCCCTGATGGCTTCCAGGACCTCCTCTTTCTCTACCAAGGGATCTATCCCCCTCATCTCTACATCCATCATTGTTTGTAGCTTGGATACCTCTACATTCACTCCCAGCTTACCATCTAAGTTTTTCCTAAGTTCATCCAGGTCAGACCCAGGTGCAAACTCTATCAGCAAATTCCCTGCCCTGGTCTGCTTAACATTTCTAACTCCATCAGGGACCCTACCAGTTACACCCTTAACTTTTTTGAGTACCTCCGCGAAGGAGGTCTCTTTTCCAAACCTAACCGCGATCGCCTGCGGTTTCACGGCCCTCCTGGGCGTATTCTTACAACCGCCCCCTCTCTCGTTCGCGTTTATCCCCCTAGCGTTCCTATTCGGTGTTACCATCTCCGTCCTATCTGTGTCCTCCAGGTTAGTTTTCCTCCTTCTCCTTCTAATCTCCGTCCATTCCCCCTCTCCGGAGTCTTCGCCTACATCCTGTACTCTCCCTTTGTACCTATCAACTGGTCTCCTCTCTCTAGGTGTCTCGCTCTGTGTGTTGAAGAACCTTTTCCTTTTCCCCTGATTATCCGTGGGGGGGGGGGGGGTGATCTCCTTTCTCTTCTGTCTATTCGGAAGAGGGGGGAAATCACACCTCCCATCACTTTCTGTTTGCGTCGCAATTGTCTTTTTTTCTTTTTCAGGTGGCTGTTCAACACTCGTCCCTCCTGGCGTCATCATTGTCTTCGTCTTCATCTGGTAAGTATCACTGTTCTTTCCGCTCCTTGTGTGGTCCGTGTGGGCCTTTCTTAGGTCAGTCACCGCCAACATCACTTCTCTAATGTTGTCTTTGAAAGACACGTACGTGCTCTTGAGTGCACAATCTGTCTCACCTTCCTTTTTCAGGATCAGGTTGTCAAAAACTACGTTGTGATCATTAATCACGTTGAGAACCCTCTCTAGGACCGCCAAACTCGCGTCAACCTTTTCCTCCAAGGTTAAACTCTCCTTTCTTTGTTGTGGAGGGGGTTTTCCTATTTTTCTTCCTCGCGCAAGTCTTCTACTTACATCGCTATCACCATCTGTTTCCGACTCGTCTCCCGTCAGGTCGACCGACTCCAACCTTTTTCTTGGTACTTTAAAAACACTGTCCTTGTGGATACTCGGAGGAGTTCTGCTCACGCGCGGCTTTCTCACAAACGCACGCTTTTCATCCGCTGATCCCTGATTAGATGCAGAAGCTTCGCCAGTAGCTGTTACCTTTACGGGGGCCTGGCGGTCTACCACCCGTACTGTGTAGTCGCTAGATAACGACGCGGGGGAGCCTACACACAAACTACCCGCCGCGCCGGTACTGGGGGGTCCGATTACCCCTGCACCGTAAGTCTTTTTGCTTTGTTTACTGTAATCCATATTAAATTTTTAAACAGGGAAGTCCATGTTAGCAAAGCCAAGTTGTCATAATTTAATACCGTCCGATACCAGTCCATTAATCATAAGCGTTTTACCGGGAAACAAGCCTGTCCGTCAACGATTTCCTCCGCACACGAAAGAACTCAAAACATGCTTATATTACCATAAAAATCGTTAAAAACCACCCTAGTAACACCTCACAAGCCGGGAATGGTGGGGAGTATCTTGAACAATCGAAATCCGCGAACTCGTCAAAAATTGTTCAGAACTCGCGCGCGGTTCTTATATTTCCATCCGCACTTTGACTTGTTCGTTTAAACTCATCACTATCGCATAAAAACCGTGTTTCGTCACTTGGGGTCTCAGGAACCCCATGGGTGCCTGAGGACCCCAGCCTCTGCACGACGGGAACCATCTTGTTGGGTGCCACAGCGCCCCAGCCCCTTATAGGCCGCGGACCATCTCAGCTGGGTGCTACAGGACCCCAGCCCCTTAAACACTCGAGCCCGGTATACATCGGGTTCTCTACAACCCCATGGCGTAGCAGGCGCCCCATAGAAAGTCAAAAATCACTTCGCAGCCGTAATTACGAAGATCCAGTGCGCATACCTCGCCGCGCATTACGTCACAGTGACGTCAAGGGGTATCAAGGAACCCACTGGGGTCTTTAGGTCCCATGGAAAGTTAAAAATCGACCCGTGGCGAGATTTACGAAGTTCATCGCGCACTCTTTTCTGCGCACTGCGTCATAGTGACGTCATGGGGTCGCTAGGTCCCCCCTGGGGTCTTCAACCTAACCCTAACCCTAACCTAACCCTAACCCCCTTTCTTTTTTTTTAATTTTTAACGAGGTGGGAAAAATGCATTTATGCAGACCGGGCGAGATGTTGTTTGCCCGGTACTGTGGGACTCCCTATTAGCTCTACCCACTAAAAAACCCACCTCGATTTCACTTCCTCGGAGCCTAGGCCTATTTCAGAATATTCCTCCCCCGGAACCGCTATGACCAGTGGTCATCAGCACTACTTCGGGGAAGGGGCGGCACCAGCAGGCTATTCCTATCCCAGAGGAGCTCCCCTCCTCGACACTACGGGCGGGCGTACGGCGATTTCGATAGTTATATCGTTTAAACACATGACACTCCCACTCTGGGCGTAACTTAACATTAAACCTTGGGTGCTTAGCACTTTTCCTCCTCCTGGGCCCGCCTTCCGGGTATCTCCTTGTCTTAGGGGCGCGTCTAGCCCTCACTCGACATCCTTCCATATGCGGAAGGTATATCGCGTCAAAGCCGGTCATATAATAAAATCAACGAGTCAGATAGTTAAGATGTCAGGTCAGGTGATAAAATAAAATCCATTAAATAATAAAACTGGTGTCAACACCTGCTCCCAGGTAATTAAGATCATTCTACATCAAAAGTTAAAATAAATAAATAATCAAATAAATAGGACACACTTCACATAATGTATAAACGTATACTTCACACCCACAGGTCTGGTGTGTAAAGGGCACCAAGACCACACAAACACAGTTAAATAAATAAGTCAAACACTGCACATCATACTTAGGAGGGGGGAGGGGCAGGATGAGGTCTTCTCCTACTCCTCCGTGTTGCCTCTCTACTCCTCTCGTAGGCTTCCTTTTCCCTTAGTGCCTTCGTGATGAAGTCAATCACTGCTCCTCTCCTCATGGTATCCTTCAACAAGCCCACGAAATTTGCCGCGTTAAGGTCAACGTTCAATTTGGTCACGAGGTCCTCTCTTTCGTTGTTCCACCGCGTACAATGAAACAGGAAATGTTCCGGATTATCCTCAATTCCGGGGCAGAACCAACATGTTGCTTGTTCTTGTTTACCAATCTTCATCAGGTACGATCCAAAACATCCGTGTCCGGTGATTGTCTGCACAAGATGAAAATTCAACTGTTTCGGTCAGTAGTTGTTCTATGCGGATCCTAAATCACTGGCGTCAGCATTTTTTTTGCTGACTCAGCAGTAATGTGACACCATCAGCAGAAATATGATACCCCCCTCCCCGCCCCCTTCTCCCCACCCCATGACCTTGAACTGAAATTTGACACCACCGTCAGCAGAAATATGATACGTCCTCGACAACCCCCACCCCATAACCACCCCTCCCCACCCCCCATGACCTTGAACTGAAATTTGACACCACCGTCTGCAGAAATATGATACGTCCTCGACAACCCCCACCCCATAACCACCCCTCCCCCCACCCGCACCCACCCCATAACCCACCCCTCCACCCCACCCCATGACCTTGAACTAAAATTAGGCGCCACCGTCAGCAGAATTATGATACGTCCTGACCTTGAACTGAAATTTGACACCCCATGACAACCCCCACCCCCACCCCATGACCTTGAACTATTTTTGTCTTATCGGAAGACGGCACAAGGCCCCCAAGTGGAAATGAGATTTTTTGTTGGCGCAGCAAATCTGACGCTGCAATTCGCGACTATAGAAGGTAGAGGTTTTGCTCATGACCTTGAACGAATTTTTCTACGTCTTGGAAATGCGGTTTTTTGTTGACGCTGCAGAGTGAACAGCAATTAAACACTTTCGTCAATGACAGCCCCACTTTAATAAAATGGGAGAAAATTGGCAATGTGTGTCATATGTAGTTTGACAATTCGAAGTGCAAGGATACTTAACGCGTTTGTGGAAAAGAGAAATGGAGGCCACGTTACTGCAGGAACTCGAACGCATCACCGAATTATTGGCGCAGCGGGCGATAAACATCAATACTGAAGATGAGCGTTGCGATTGCTTGATGCGATGTGATCAGTGCATCGAATTGATAGACGAACGATTACAAATGGGAGACGATTTATCAGTTGAAGGATGGCGAGACATAGAAGCATACAAAGAAAGAATCGACGCCTTGCGTAGAATATTGTATCGTGACAATGATCATCCTAGTGGTCAAAAGGCAATATTACTAAACGAACTTGCTTGTATAGAACAACTTTTGACACAACGTATTGCAGCCATAAGTAGTAACGACGACCGAAACGCATGTCTGGTGCAATGCAATCAATGCATTGATTTAATGATAGAGCGATTGCAACTGGAAAAGGACTTATCAACTGGTTTGAAAAATAGTTTAACAGCCAGGATAGCGAGATTTAAATCGTTAAGAGCAGAGTTACACGGATCTGTAAAAATAGGCGAAGGTCAAAGGAGAACAGATGCTGAATCACATGCATCATCATCATCTCTTATCTGGGAGGATGTAGAATCAGCTTTCCATAACCGGATAACTACAGGAATTATAATCAACACCGAGCATATTGAACCACGAAACTTTTTGGAAGATGCTAGAAAAATAGTATTCCAACGTCTAGCGGAAGTTTTCCAAAATCATTCATGCATAAAAGTGAATACGGTGTTGTATGGGGAGTTTACCGCTAATAATAAAACTGATGTGAAAAGTTTCAGTGTGAGAAATAAACAATTATTTTCTACATCAAACTTGAACGATTGGTATGACAAATACGTTGTGAACTCAACTTTAACACTGATGGAAGAAT